GACCTGGGGCTGCGCCGGGCAGCTGGCGGTGGTGGTGCTGGGAGCAGAGTGGCAGCAAAATTTGCAGTAGGTGCAGTATCCTCCCAGTGCCACAGCTGCCTGCTCTGAGCCCAGCCCCTGCTGAGAAGAGTCTCAAGCGGCCCTGGCTGCAGCCCGCCCCACCCCACACAGATCTGGGGGGCACACCTCCCCACCTCCCACTGGGGTGCAAGCAGCAGCAAGAGTCACCTCCACCCCTCCTGCCCCCATGAGCTGCGGCTCTGCCCACCCCCACAGCGCCTGCCCATCCCTCACTGTGGGGGCATTGATCTGCACCCCTCCCATGCCCCTTCCCTCCCCCCTATCCTTCTACTACACTGGATTTACCAGTTGCATGCAGCTCTTTATGCTGCCACGCTCTGCTCCCTGCTGCCCGAGTGCTGAGCTGTGACTGCATGCAGCACGGGCATTTATTGGCCCCATCAGGCCAATATCCGACCAATGCATCTGTGCACCTCTAATGTACAGCAACCTACTAATTAGTTAAGGTTAGCTTTAACGAGGTAGTTACACAGTTGCCACATTACTACTGGTGACCCGATGGCCTTCATTGTATCATTGCAACACCACAGGTGACACTAAGTCACCAGCAGAGAAAAACAGAATTAGGTGAGTTAATTCAGATATTGTGCCTGATTTTAACATGCCTTTGTAATTTTGTACCAGGGCCAAGATCATTCTGCAGCTGGAATCAGCCTTCTCAGGCCTGGAATATGAGGATGTTGGCTATTAACTTTTCACAACATGCATCACTTCAGGGAGCTGCAGCTTTGTCAGCAGTCTAAGTAGCTCACCTCCTCATGATGCACAGGCTCAGAAGAACGGCTAATAGAGGAAACACTTGGTTCATCTGATGGCTCATCAAGTTCATTGTCTGTGTACGCTCCACCTTCTCCATCTGTGTCTTCCATATCACTAATCAAGCGACTGTCACAGCTCAGATAGTCGGCACCCATAGCTGTTAGATACGACATGCGATCTTCGGCATCATCATCCATTCCTTCCAACTATGAAGGTGAATTGAAAGGATTAGATTGGACTTCATCCCCCTTTATAAGCTCTGAGTAACATTAATCTATAAAACACAATACAGAAGAGACACAGTACTGCAAGAATGCTGGCATCCCCAAGAACAGGAAAGCTTCTCCAGTAGAATGTTATGTATATTCCTTAGAAGCAATTGTCTGCCTCAGTTTAGCAGTGAGAACAACAGGATAAAATAAAAGGAAAAGAATAGAACATTTATCATGGACCTTTTTCTAAAAAAAACAACAAAGCAAAAAAACCTAAACTTATTTTTGCCATCCAATACAACATTTTAAACTCGTGTACATGTGTGCATGTGTGCGCACGCAACACCCCCCTACCGTGATGTCCAGAACATAAATACAACTTTTCTAATACAATTTGAACTGTTTGATAACCTACCTTTCCTTCTGACACCCATACAGCTTCATTCTGCTGTTGCTGAACTATATCTTTCAGACTGCCATACCAGCTATCATTGGCTGAATTCAAATTGACAGTGGCTGTAAGCATTAAAAAAAAGAAAAAATAAAGTAAATCACAGATTTCACAGAAATTCTTCTTTTAAATTCAGAAACCTCCAAATACCTATTTCATTCATGCAACAAAGTCCTGGATAATGCAAGATTACTTTATAAGCTATTTTAATAGGCCACTGGCAAAAATGCAATGCTTGATTTTTTGTTGGCTATTAGAAAAATGACTCTGTATAAATGTTAGTTAATTTTATTAGTTATTTTAGAAGTTGTTTTACTAGAATAAATAGGATACAGTAATCTCCAAAACACCCTTGAAAATTGCTTTTATATTGAAATACATTAAGACCAGAAACTGGTCCTAAGCATATTAGCACAAATTTGCACAGGATACATAAGTCATAATCATTTAAACTTCTTGATAAAGAAAAGCATTCTATCGGCACCCACTGTTCTTAGGAGATAAAATTAGAGAGATTCCTGCTTACCTGTAAAAAGATGATGGCCAGTTTTCTTCAGTTTATTTGCTTGTTCATAAAGCTTCCGGGAGCTCTTGTTGGATGTGGGAGAGAGCCTTTGTCTCATAGTTTTGATACCCTGTTTACTGTCTGGGTTTAAAAAGATGACAATCGGGAACCACTGGGTGTAATTCAACAGATCTACAGCTTTAGGAGTCACATCCAACAAAGCATGCTTGTCCTGTTAACAAAGAAGGCCCAGATCAGTGCTTCAGTTGGACAGGGGAAGTGTCAATATGCTTCCACAACCCCAACCAGAGTTATAACCATGCTAATGCTCTCCTCAAAAATCATAAATCCTATTCACATCTACTAACTCTGATGTTGGGTGTAACGTTCTTATTCCATTTTCTATTACTTTATTCCTTCTGCCTCCCT